TCTAAAATTAAAAGATCCTAAGTCAAGAAAGGAAAAGAACAAAAGTAAACCTCGTCGGGTGTTAAGAACTACCTTGGTCTGATTCTAGGAGAACTGAATGAATGTTTAAAGGACAATATTAAGTGTATTTTTGGTTGAACTTAAAGAAAATGGGAATTGTTGTGTTTTGTGGTTTCAAGCACAAGTTAACTACAAAATTAACATTTAGTCAAGTTTTTTTTTTAGTCTTGCTACACTAAAAGTCTTAAACATGAAATCTTATTGAGTTATCCTTTCACCAACTAACCAGAAGTTCTTTTTTTCAAAAAATTAGGTCGTCACTGGTATAAATATGCCACTATTATACCAATTACCCATTCATGTGATCAGAATGCGTGTATAGCTTAGAGGTTTTGCAAAGATAAATCTGATTGGGTTAGTACTTTATGACTCAGTGGTTAGCTGCATGACTTGCTATCAGGTTGTGTCTGCAGCAACAGTTCAATCAATAAAAGTTAATTGGAAAACTACTGTTCTCAAACAAGCAAGCTACTTTTTTCATCTTGCTTATACCACTGATCAAATGAGGAGCAACTCTCCGACCACTTCCACTACCCCTTTGAAGAGCTGTTCAGAATCCCTGCAGTGAAAACAGCTCATTTTCTCCTGCACATACAGGTTGACAGAGGAATCAGAAAGCATCTGCTTTTAGAAGGAGCCAGAACTTGAACCTGCAGCACTGATATTCGCTAATTTGTCGGTGACCTTTAAACTGTCATCACAGTTGCTGTTTGGAGAGAGTGAGATACATCTTCCATAATACACACAATGAATTTATCTTATTTTATTAATTGGGCAGAAGGGGTGAAAATCCTTTAGACAAAGTACTTCCAATGTTATTGTTCTCTTAAATTTTTAATAAAGTTTGAGATAACGTATCAGCTTTGTTTTGGGGGAACATGCCTTCAAACAAAATTACTGGACGCAATAGGACAAAAACATCTAGACTGTGATGTGGGCACAAGGTAGTTCAAACAATCAGTGTGGAGGGAGTTGGCTGCTTGCACCTCCAAAGCAGAGAAACTACATGCAATGGCAACCTTAAAAAAAAACAGAAAATACTGGAAGCATTCTGGTCAGGGAACATCCATGGAGAGAGAAAAAGTTAATATTTCAGATTGATGGCTTTTCATCAGAACAATTCTAATGAAAAGTTTTGATTTGAAACATTAATTCTGTTTGTCTCCACAGATTATGCCAGATCTATAGAATATTTTCAGAATTTCTGCCTTTATTTCACATTTCTAGCATCCTCAGTATTTTACTTGTGTGGCTGCAAGAAATTGTTTATTTTAGACGCCAAGTAACAAACAAGTGTAAAAGCCAGAATAAGAGAAGAAGACTTAAAAAATGTGATTATTGGCTCCACAACACATGAATTATGCTCAGTACTAGTTCAGAAGTCAAATGGGTGACAGATTCAGAAAACAACTAGCTGTAAATTTTGGTTTACAAGCAGTGTTTAAAAAATGAGATTAATAGCCGGAATCAATCTGCCTCTAATTTTCATCACTGCTTTCTTTTTGATAACTACTGATGACACCACAGAAACATGCTGCAATTTCTCCATTAATTGTCATTATTGAGCTCAAAATTAATTGCAGTCAATATATGACACCAGGATTTACACCATTAGTTTATCCAGATTTGCTTTTAGAATTTTTCAGAAATCACTACAGTCCATCTTGCTAAGCTGCAAAATGCAAGTCCAGTTCTTAAGAGAAATGTGGTGAAAACAACCTGGTTAAATGACATCATTGCATTCATTATGAAATTATGTTTAAACTGTATTTTTTTTATTGTTTGATTTTAACAGTACCGATGTTATTACCAGACAAATCAGATCCATGTCTGCAATCTGGCTTGACAGATTATTTTGAATTATTTTGGTTCCGAAACAAAATGCAATGCTTCAGATTTAGTATCAACAATAAAACAGGAGTTTATTGTGCAAAAGAAATGAAAATAAAACCAAACTATTTTGTAAAGACCATATCTTTCTCTTTATTTCTGATAGTGCTAAAATGGGTAAAGGACTTGAAAAGCAAGTTATTGGAACACACTAAGTGGTATTTACTCAGCTGCTTTGATCAAATAGTGGGGAAGGTCAGTTGCAGATGGGCTGGCACCAGCGCGTTTACACAATGCGACTTTCAGCCAGCATTACGTAGCCGACTGGTTTGCCGGTTGTTGATGACAAAATGCATCAGTCTGTCAACAAGTATGGCTCCAGGCTAGACAGACAACTTGTGGACGTGAATGACACTGCCAGAAGCCTTTGGACTTCCAAAAAGGGAGGCGGTGTGTCCCTCCCTGCAGTAGAAAATATCTAAAGTCTGAAATCTGATCTGTGTTCTCTAGGTCTACAAACTGGGGACTGTGTGTACTTTGACAGATTCTCTAGCTTTTGAGAGGACTCTGGGAATAGCAGGGCTTGATTTCACTGGAGTAGCGTGCTGGAAATGTGACAATTTACAAATAACACGTTTAAAGATTTTGAAAGACATGGTAAACTACAATCCCATTAATCCCAAAGGCACCCTTTTACAGTACTTAAATCACCAGAGAGAATAGTCAGTGTTTGGCTTAACAGATGTTTCAATTCCCAGTCACGACAATCCGATAGCCTTTGCCTTGAGCCTTTGTAAAACTGAGTATGGATTTTGTCAGTTTCAAATAATCACTTCAGGGTTTTAACCAAGCACTTCCAATCTGGAACTTGAAACTAACTCCTTATACAGAGGTAATTTATTCCTGATAGCTTTAAACTGTTTCCCTTTCTCAGATGGGACTGTTTTACACAGCCTGCTTCATTCAAGACTTCTGCAACCCCAACAGAAATTCAAAGCTTCTTCCAAGCTGAGTCCTCCACACCCTCCCCACAAAAAATCTGACCTTCTAAACTGAAAGCTTTAATGCACAACCATTTACTTTGAGTTTTTACCAGTGAACAAAGTAAACATTTTCCCAGGAGCCTGAAACAACTCTGATGGTTTTAAAAGAAATCACCATGACTACAGAAATAACTATAAATTAATCATTAAACTCCTTCTGACAGGCCAAAATTCACATACCACTAGCTCAAATCCAAACTCTAAAATAAATGATATGAAGTTATAAGTAAATCACAGACCTTATATAAAATACAAGGTCTTTTAGCATTGTCATGAAAAATACATGATTCACAAACTGTACTGCTTTTTGCTCATTACTACCACTAGGTTAGGTTTCAGTAGTGAATGCGCACAATGCAATGAATGTCAAAAGTGGTCATATATATTAAAATGCTTTCAAATTGAATAATTTTGTCCACCAGCACATTTCAACCATTGCAAAGTATAAATAAAATAACTTCTCAAGTATTATCTTATAATTGAAGGTTTGTCAACCAACAAAACTAAAATCTTTAATTTGAGAGTTTACATTGAGACTTCACACAACAACCGAACAAGACTGCAAGTACTGCTGCTGAGCATTGCACTTGCATTTTTATGAAAATAATGGAATAAGTAAATGGTCAAAACTGTAGCAAATAGGTTTCAATATAGGTAAGTATGAAGGTATCCATGCTGAATGAACAACATAACAGAAAAGGGCAATTTCAAAAACAGTGTAAATTCAAAGAGATTGATCCGAAAGTCCAAGTACGTGCTTCAGTAAAATGTCATGCACAGGTCCAAGAAAGTAATTGAAAAGGTTAATCGAATATTGAGAATCATATCTTATGCTAACAATATTAGGCTTTTTTTTTGGCGGGGGGTGCGGGGTGTTGCACACGCATGCACACAGGATGACTTTAACAGAATACTGCACTAGACTCCAAGCATTAAGTTACAAGGAGAGACAGCACTAACCAAGGGTGTAGGGTGTGAAATTTAGATGATTAAGGGTTTATAAAATCATGAAGGGCATGGATAGGATTAATAGGCAAGGTCTTTTCCCCAAGCTGGGAGGGTCCAAAACTAGTGGGCATAAATTTAAGATGAAAGAGATTTAAAAAGGGACCCAAGGGGCAACTTTTTCATGCAGAGGGTGGTGCATGTATGGAATGAGCAGAAAGGGGAAGCGGTGGAGGCTGGCACAATTACAACATTTAAAAGGCATCTGGATGGGTATATGAATTGGAAGGGTGTAGAGGGATATGGGCCAGGATTAATTTAGGTTATCTGGTCAGCAAGGATGAGTTAGACTGAAGGGTCTGTTTCTGTGCTGTACATCTATACAACTATTTACAAATTGGAACAAACAGACTGGATAGAAATAAACCATTCCTGCTGGTTAGGGTGTCTCAGACTGTGCCATAGCCAACAAATAAAGCCAAGCTTTTCAGAAATAAATATAGGGAATACTTCTACCTAAAAAAGGTGCGAGAAATTTGGAACTCACTTCTGCAAAATGCAATTGATCCCCAATCAACTGGTCAATTTAAAATGAGATTGAAAAACTGTTAACTTTATTAAGAGTTATGGGGCAAAAGCAGGTATATGGAGTTAGGTCATAGTTCAACCATGGTTTTATTGAATGACAGAACAGACTCAAAGGGCTAAATAGAGTACCGCTGTTCCAAGGATCCTATATGTCTGAACTCAATAGGAAGATACTGATTTATAGTTTTATATGCCTTTTAGAAACCACACAGCAAAATTCAGGCCTCACAAAATGCATGACTGTGAAAAATATTGTGCAAGATGGACATTACTGTATTCTGGTGGTGCAAAATTACCAGTGCCTTGCCAACAAAATCCAAATTGAAGTCACTGCTGATGAACCTGTTGAAAACTATTTCAGCCACCATTCTAACTATTTTTCTCGTGATCAAGTTGGTTGAGGGGGGGGTCAGGAAAGTGCACGCGGCTGCTGCCTATAGTTCAGACTGTATGGGTTTTCTTTCTTCAAAGCCCAATATTTTTGCACAGTAACAAAATAAAACTAAATGTAGAGCTTTAGTGAAGCTACCTTACCATTAGGAATCAGAATTCCACCTAGCATAGTGCCAAACACTATTCCAGCTGTAATGAGCTTAAAACGCAAGGGTGGCATATACCCTCCTGCAGCAAAGGTACCATCCTTCTGCTGAAATCGAAAGGGAAGGGAAAGTTGGTAAATTGTTCAATATCCTTCAAGAGAAAACATTCCATAATCAAGAAAACACGACAATACAACCAAGTGAACACAAAATCATGAGAATTCAATTGTGAAGTCAAATCACATCACTATTTAAATTGCAAATAACCTCCGCTTTCCTCACTAAAATACATTTGATAAGAAAATTATACTCTATCACTTGTGTATCAACTACTGGACACTCTATTGTCTTTCTCACGGTCACCTATAAGCTTAGCATCCAGGAACCATGAATATTAATCCTACTGAACAGCTCTTGCTCATTAAGCCTGTGGTTGATATTGGCTCAACATCGACAAAGGATTTCACTTCCCAAACAGGACTGAGGCCATAGATAACATGGCATATTTTTATCATTTTCTCAACTCATGGGTATTTATAAAGTAGGAGATATCAGTATACTTCCAGAAGACAGTAGCTCAGAAATTTCAATGACCAGGCAGTCATTTCTGCAATCTAGGCTGGAGTTGTGCATTAGGGTCACATGAAAATCTCAACACAGCTGAATCCAAAAATAAAATTGCCCTAGAAATTGAAAATTCCAACAGATAATTGCCCTATTTCCCAAGCCTTTGAGAAAGCTCCTTAATGTCAGAATTCAGAGGGCTCCAAACTCAGTTAAGTTTAATAGTTACCCAGGAAAGATTAGAGGATTAAAAATCAATTGTAATACTAGTTAACCGTTAAACTGATTCCCAAATGCAACACTAACCCTTCTCCTAAATTCATCAACCTACACTGCACCCAGAACGGCAATGCAAAACCCTGCTCCCTGATGCGACATTCCCCACTGCTGAAAACCCTACTTGAATCCATAACTCCCTCCCGTCACAGCCCCCAAACAGAGAGTCATCCCTTGGCCCTAACTGAAAAGCCATCTGCCAAACCAAACATCAACACACCACCTTGATCCAACATTCCTCCTTCTTCCACTCCCACATCCTCTCTCTTAGCTGCACCCAATCTACATTAAGCACTGATCCACTCAACTGACACCCCACACACTTCAAACAAATGAGTATTATTTCCTTACCTATCACCCCCTGCTTCCACAACTAATAAAATAGATTGGGGTCTTTGCATAATTTAAGTCCCAAAATAGCGCAGCAAGTGCCATAAAAAGTGGCAGGTCTTGCCAGCATTGTTACTCCTGCACTGAATGGATTTCTCCCCAATTTTCACCAATTACACACTTGGATCACCAGACTGAATTCTGGCCAGAAACAATTGTCAACAACCCACTAAGGACTACAGCGAATCATGAAGGCAGCCCACTGCCTCCATCTCCAGGTCAATTAGGGATATGCAATAAATGCTATACTTGCCAGTGACATCCACATCGTATGAACAAATAAAGAAAACCCACTTGCTAGCCACAAATAATTAATCACAGTTGGGGATCGGTTTCTTTGTGCTCATAAGCAAATTCACATTAAATGCTGTGGCCCAAACCATCAACACTATGGAGTAAACATGAACAAACTGCAATACGGAAGTGAGTTTCAAGCTTAAAATAGTTTAAAAACACATTTAAATCAACTTATTCTAACTCCCACAACAATGTATATTTGTTAGATACAGATAGCTAATTTTTCAGAGGTTCTGTATTAACAATACATACTTACTTGCAACTGTTCAAAGAGAAAAGTGTTCAGAGCTTGTCGGCAAGGAAGAATCATCATTGGGAACCCCACAGCAACAGACATCATAAATCCTACACGAATCATCTCTGTGACCAAGTTGGAGGGGAAGTTCATCATAACATTCCCAGCAATATTATCAGTGTAACCAATATAACCAAAAGAACCAACCTGTTAGATGATAATAATATTATAATTATAATAATAGTAGTAGTAACAATAATGATAATTATGTGTACTTTAGACTATAAGACACGGGAGCAGAATTAGGCCATTCAGCCCATGAGTCTGCTCCACCATTTGATCATGCCTGATATGTTTCTCAATCCAACCTCCTGCCTTCTCTCTGTAACCTTTGATCCCCTTACTAATTAAGAGCCTATCTTAAATACATTCAATGATTTCACCTCCACAGCCCTCTGTGGCAATGAGTTCCACAGATTCACCACCCTTTAGCTAAAGAAATTCCTCTTCATCTTAATTCTAAAGGGTCATCCCTTCACCCGGAGGCTGTGCTCTCAGGTCCTAGTCTCTTCTCTAGAGGAAGCGCATCTTCTCCATGTCTGCTCTATCCAGGCCTCTCAGTATTCTGTAAGCTTCAATGAGCTCTCCCTTCATCCTTCTAAACTCCGAATGGAGACCCAGATTCCTCAACCACTTCTCATACGACAAGACCTTCATTCCCAGGATCATTCTTCCAAATGCCCTCTGGATCCCGTCCAATGCCAGCACATCCATCCTGAGATACAGGGCCCAAAACTGCTCACAATATTCCAAACACAGTCTGACCAGAGCTTTATAAAGCCTCAGCAATGCATTCCTATTCTTGCATTCTAGCCCACAGTGCTCCCTTAAATTTAATTGCCAAATACTCGAGTTAATATTCATTATTATACACATCTACAAAAGTTTTGTTGAATCAAAAGCTCCAGGTTCAGGTCCCACCCTTGGACTGATTGCCACGAAATTAACATTCATAAGATGGACAAAAGGATTCATTGTTGGGCTATAAATGCTTCATAAATACATACGGAATGTGGTCAGAGCAGGGAATTAGCTAATCAATTATGCTATGATTCCTAAGCTAACGAATAGAAATAGCTAGCATTAGGAAAGGCATCCAGCTGTAAAACCAACTGCCAAATCCAAAATGATTGTTGATTCCAAGGTATTCAACCAGCATTGTGGTAACCCCACGTAACATGGGAAAAGGTAAAGAAAGGGAAGTTCATCTTCATGTTTGCAATCTAAGCAATGTAGCCAGTGTAAAATATTGAAGTCTTAAATAACTTCTCAAATTTGCATTTCGAAACTGCACTTTCTCAAATTAGATTAACTTAAACTTAACTTGTGTATTATTCCTAATGCTGTGACTGAAGTTTGTTTTCACAAAGTTGTCCCTTAAGCTGCCAACAATTGAAATTACTAAATGGAAATTAGTTTATTTGATCTAAAGAGCTCGCATCTAAAAGTGACTAAAGAGTTATCTTTACAAGCCTTTGGTCAGTGGCGTTTAACCAGTACGATCTATGGAGTATAAAAGCCAAATAACTACACATGTTAGAAGTCAGAAACAAAAACAGAAATTGCTGGGAAAACTCAGCAAGTCTGGCAGCTTCTGTGCAAAGAAATCAGAGCTAACACTTTGGGTTTGGTATGTATTCAGAACAGTTATGAAGAAGGGTCACGGGACACAAAACATGAACTCTGATCTCTCTCCATAGATGCTACCAGATCTACGGAACGCAATGTTTTGGCAATAGAATTGAAACGTCACATTTAAAACAAACTCTTCGAAATGTTGAGTTCAATTTTAGTTATTCAAAGGGTTTTCTATTTTAAACAAAGTCTAATGTTACTGCTGCTCACATGAATTAATAAGCTGAAATGTTGCAATACATATCTTCTAAATTCATCCCCAATACAAGCTGCTTCTATTAATTTTCAAAAACTATTGCAGTTATCTAGTTACATGCAATATGAACACCAGAGACTTACTGTTATGTAAAACATATTAACCACATTCAGGGCTGACGAGAAGATAGTGCTCATCCGTTTAACAGAAGGTTCATCCAAGCTGTCATATGTAGGCAGCACTTGACTGTGAGAAAATTTTAAAAATAAATCTGAGCAATGTATTTTTTAACTCAAAACAAAGACAACTGAAATACCCTTAATGCACAAAAATTATTCACAATCAGAAGTGCAAAATACTGCAAGTGCTGGAGATCTGAAATAGAAACAGAAATGCTAGAGAAACTCCAAGTCAGAAATATCTGCAGAAAAAGAGAAACAGTTCAGATTTTGCATTGAATATATGATTTCCTCAGAGTCAGACGTGCTAAGTTTCTCTTGGACCTTGTTTTTAATTTTATTTACAATTAATTCACTGATACTTAAGTAAATTTTGGTGTATGACTTTTAAAATTCTTAGTGTAAGTAGCTAGAAATTGTTAAATTATGATAATAAGTAGATTTTCTCACAGTACAATGAATCATTTGAAAAAATAATGCACAACTAAAAATGACTTTCATGTCTAAGCCTTAGTAAGCCTCACAGTTAGGCCATGAATCTATGGGTTATCCTGAGGTTTAACAATATATTGGTGCTACAACATCACAAACTCTGCTGGATTTCAATCACTACACCATAAATAAAGGTATGCATAAAGAAAACAGCAAGAAAATATTCCCTGAAATAAAGGGACTGAGCCATGAACAAAAACACAGAAGACAATCAATGACAGCTTGGAAAGAAAATCAAATAGAATAAAAACACATTGTAAATAGATGATTTGAAAGTCGAACAAGTTGGAACAAAAGGCACAAAATTAAGTTAGTGAAATTAAAAATTCAAACAAATACCACAAAGCACTTCTGTACCTAATGTTCAATAACTGTTTGGAATAATCTGCCTGGCAATGCAATTGAGACAAAAAGCCTTCAAGGAATTTGACATGCAGTTGGATGCTAAATTGCTCAAGTTAAACTTATTGAAAAGATAAGCTTTGCTAATCTGACTAATCTTAATTGTGATTGCTCTCAATCACGATACTGAAAATACAGTAAAATCATTTCAGGAATTCAAAGCTTTGTGACCCAGTAAATGGGCTTAACAGAAGTACAACAAGTTTGTACCTGTGGATTTAGCTAGAGTAGACAAAATAAAACAAACACAGTGCTCCCTCTCCGCTGAAATTAAACCAAAAATTGATAGGTAACTTGAGAAAGAGAGCTAGAATTCATCTGCTACTGGCCCAGATTTTGTGGTGGTAATGACAGCAAAATTGTCAGTGTTCATTTTCATTATTCAGCCAAAATTGATATTAACTTTGGCAGTCCACACATGCACAGAATAATGTGGAAATTCAGAAGCTGCAATCAGAGATTGTATGTTTCTCCAGAGGATGCACTGTTGAGGTTCCACAAAATAACCTGACCATTCATTGTGCTAATTGCACGATTAGCTGATCACAAAATAGCTTTGCATTGGACTATATTACCACGAGAGCAGTTAACAGTAAAATCACTGCATACAAAGTAATTTTGAAATGAAAGGTATCTGATAGTACAAATTCTCTCAATGATACAATGCAAAATGAGTTTAATATAGTTGAATCTGAATACTCAAGGATTTCAGATGCTACCCGGTTGAGCCACTGAGTCAGAAACAGACATTCCAAATGTTATGGAAAGATGGCTAGCAAGAGAGGTTAGTGGGAAAAGTAGAAATGAACTTAAAAGATGCGATCTGTTTGTGGAATTGTTTTGAATATAATGCTCAGTCAACCAGGTTTTAAAAATATAAAAATTATCTAATTGTTGATTACAACTTTAAAAAAGATTCTCATGAACATAAGCAGTAAGACACTGAAAAGTACTTAAGTCAGTGGCAGCCTCCTATTCTCAGAGGATTCAGGAATATTTTGAAGTGCAATTTAACAGTTTAGACAGCACAAGAGAATACATAACAAAATTCTACCTTAATATTTTTAGTAACAGTTTGTTAAATTTTATTTTTTCAGCACATTTGCAATAAAATGTATTTTAATGCTAATCAATTTGCAAATGTAGCACTGACACGGAATTGCACTAAAATACACTGTTGTGAGTATAAAAGGACATCAATACGATGAATTTTAGTGCAGCCAGAGTTAAGGAATTTGCTTCTACTACACTCTAACTGAAACAGAATAACATGAATATAAGTGGGACAGCTTTTGGTTATTTAATATAACTCGTTGGAGTTAAACTAAGTACAACTAATGCAGTTTAATTACAAATTGATGGGTAACATTGAGGCTTAACAGTAGGAAAGGGATGATACTGCTTTAAAACAAGCAATCCCTTGCGAAAGTGATATCAAAATAGAATTGTCTCAAACTAAATTCAGTCTTCATATAGCTGTTACACCAATAACTGAAGCTGGAATACAAATAACCGTGGGATTTTCTCTTACCGTATGATGTTAGTTCAGCACAGTCTAAAAGATACTGGTGTCTTGCGTGGAGGACAGGTGCACATCTATAGACAAATCACCTCCCAAAGACTGAAAAGCGCTAATCCTAAGAGAAAAGATGCAACTATGCGATCTGACTTCTATGCCTTACCCCAACCCAAGTCACACGCTTCCAGCGAACATCCTACATGACCTACATTGGAGATAACACGGTGTAGAGCTGGATGAACACAGCAGGCCAAGCAGCATCAGAGGAGCAGGAAGGCTGACGTTTCGGGCCTAGACCCTTCTTCAGAAAATGAAGGAGG